GACTCTCACAACCTGCCAAAGCACCGGCCGAAGCGCAGTGATCAGCCCCCTCCTTCCATGCGCTAGTCAGGTTCAGCAAATTTGTGTATCGGGTGGAGTCCCGGGTGGTTTGCATAGCTCCCTTCTCAGTACTGAAACATGGCTGTTTTCTTGAGAAAATCAGAAGCCATTCTGATAGACGGTCCCCTTTGTGCATGAGAAAGGTGTTCTCTAGTTGCGTTGAACTTCTGAAAAGCCTAGTACATTCTATCTCCAAACGCCTCCTGTAAATTCTGCATCGTTCATTTGTGGTTAAAAGTGCCTGGTCTTGCAGAAGTGTGCTTCTGATATTGCAGACACTATCAAAGGCAGAGATTATCCGCTGCAGATAGGAATGGCTGTGCTTTCACAGTTGGGCATTAAACAAAGCAGAGTGTTGAAATCCCTTAGAACTCCCTCTTTCAAAAACAGATTTAGTCTCTCGATTTGGAAAATGCAGTTGGGAATTCCACTTACTCATAGGAGAGAATATTCTCAGTGGAGGAGAGGGGGAGGATGCTAGGTGGTTTTCTTCAAAGCACAAAGTGTGATTCCTTGCGTGCCTTTCACTGGGCATTGTAGTTAAACTCTTAGGCAAGGATTCTCTGAAGAGCTAGAATGTTTAAAGTTCTGACTGAAAATGTCATCTCTTCTCTGCCCTCCTATCATAGTTCAGAAAATCCAATCATTCTTTAAAGTTTATTATTTTTCTGTGTTGAGTGCCTTGTATGTGTGTATTTGTACCACTTTGTGTGTGCTGGTACCCATGGAGGCCAGAAGAGGATATCAGATTCCTTTGGAACTGGAGTTATAGCTGGGTGTGAGCTGCTGTGTGGGTGCTGGGAACTGAACCCAGGTCCTCTGCAAGAGCAGCCAGTGCTCTTAACTGCTAAGCCATCTCTCTGGCCCTCAAATCTTTATAAATTGTAGGGACGGAAATAACTATATTTTTGACAGTACCATCTCAAACTGCCTTGGATGGGGTCCAGGAGCCTGGTCTTGTGGCCCCTGAGATACAGCCTTAAGTAATTTTCTATGGAGGCGGCAGAGCCTCTGGAAACTGGCTGCACAGTCCAACCCTCCAGGCACTTTATTTTCTAAAGAGCGACTGGCTGACGGCCTGAATTTTTTTTTTTTTTCTTTCCCTTTTCCCTCTTGTTAGAGGTTCTGGCCTTGGCTCCTCCCTCCTCTCCCTCCTTTTTTATTTTTTTTTCATTCTTCTGTTTTTGAGTCTGATCATATACTTTGACTTTTCGATATCCGTGTATACAAGGAGGAAAGTCAGATAGTTTTTCTGAGGGCCTGCACCTTCTCTCACAGTCAAACATTCTTTCTTTGCAACCAACTAATTTGCATGGCGATGACATTTGTTGCTCCAGTAATTTCATCTGATAATGGCTGGGCTTGCAAAGCGGATCTGAAAACATATTCCTTAATTATGTGTTGCTAAGCAACGGGAGGGTTTGGTCATAATCACAGAAAGATTATCTCCTCATTGAAGTCCTGGAAAGGTTTCGCTGAAGGAGGAGAGCCTGCAAAATTGCCCTTCTTCCTTTCTGTTTATTTTGCACTGCTTTCGAACAAAAACATCCCCTGCTATTTGAGTGTGGGGTGAGGGATATTATATAAGTTGTTTGGAGTGTGGTTGTTAACACACTGTTTTGCAGACCAAAGGATATTGATTTTTTTATTTCATTTGCATGGCAGCAAGCCAGTGCCAAGGAAGTCTGCAGCCAGAGTCTGCCAGCAAATAAATTTCTCAGTCAAACAATCTATCCCACAGCCGCAGCACATCCCAGCTCCTTATCGTGCATTCCATGTGGCATTATGACTCTATCGATACTGTTGGAGCTGGGGGCAGGGCCTTGGCTTCCTGGTGGTCCTTCAGCTGGATGAATGGCATTGGGGTGATGGGTTTCATGGACTCCACAGACAGATTGAGGTGTGCTGGAGGCAGTGGGAGACTCCGGTTTGTCTGTAGGCATGGCTTCGGGCAGAGAGGTGCTGAGCCCCAGAGAGGCAGCGTTGCAGTGAGGAAAGTCGTAGAGACCCGAGGCACGTTGCTAGGCAGCCTGCCTTGCCTCTGGGCCAGAAGATGGCAACTTCAGACTCTTGTGGTATAGCTCTGTGGGCTACTCATTAGCAGCAGGACCAGACTGACTGCATCCGCATCTTGATTTCACCTATTTTCACCCACTGTGAATGGTCCTGGAATGCCTGGGGGGAGATGATTGGGTCTCTCTTGCCCCAGTAGAGAGGTGATGTTGGGATGCTTACACAAGAATTGTTTCTGATGATTTTTTTCAAGGTTCTAGCTTTGCTTTTTGGCCATGCTGTGAGTACTTGGCTGTGTACTTCATTTGAGCATCTGCACAATACATTCCCACGTGCCAATTCTGTCCAGCCCATCAACTGGGCAGTTCAGAGCAGCAATGAGAGGCAGGCAGATGCACAGGCTTAACAGGCTTCTGGGCAGAGCTGCATGGGTGACGGCACCTGGTGGGTCTGTGCTCCGGCCCACACTGACCTTGCAGGCTGCCATGAGCCACAGAACATTACGGCACTGGCTGTCATGTGTTATTCACTCGTGGCCAAGGGCTTGCTGGTGCTTGAGCTTCCCTGTACCAAATGCCAAGGGAACCTCATAAACACACACACACACACACACACACACACACACACACACACACACACACACACACAGAGTGCCACAGCCATTTTCCTGTCTTGTCTTACATGATCCCAGCAAAGCACAGCTTGTTTTAGGGCTACGCCCAGAACTCAGTTCCTATGTGAGAACTGTAGTCCTGTTTGTCTGCCCATCGTTGTCCTGTCTCTGTACTACCCCCACAGTGGGACATTCCCATAGTCTCCCAGCCATTTATCTTAGCGTACATGGATTGATGAAGCATGTGAAGACCCTGATCTAGTTGCCAGGGCTGTTACTAAGGACTCTGGGTTCGTTGGAAAATCTGTGGCTCTTTATGGAGGGGCCACAGAGTCACCAATGATGGTGATAGTGGTGTCTGTCATCAGTTACATGCCATTGCCTAGATTACACCATCATTGTAGGGAATATACAGTCTCGTTAGGAATTCTCCTCACAAGTCTTTGCAGTTGGAGTCAGAAGCGGTGCTCCCATTAGAGCCCCCAGTGATTTCCTCAAGTGTCTTTCTTTGATGGGCTGTCTGTATGTTGGAGTGTGTTCGGGGGTGAGGATAGGCTCTCTGGTTTAGAAGGATGCTAGAGATGGCCACCTTGAAGGTCCAAGTTCTCTTAAGACCAAACTGGGTTATGTCCAGGTAGAGCTAGGCCCAGGACAGTGGGGCTTGACTGGCTCTCCCACCTCAGAGCACAGGGACGTTTTAGAAGAGGTGTTGTAGGCAGTGACCCAGGGCTAACACTGGAGAGCAGCAAAGTGCTGGCCTCAGCCTCTAGATAAGAAGCAGGAAACCTGCCAGGCTGCCTTTGGGTGTCAGGCCCTGAGCACAGACCTCTGCCCCAGCAGGGTATCCAGCTCTTTGTTCTTTGCTTTGACATGAACTGAGCTGCTGCTCCGTACTTCGGCTCAGTCCAGTGTGCGGGGGCACGATGGTGAACAAGACTCAAGGCTTGTCTTCAGGTTCTGGGAAGGTTAGAGCATAAGAGGGCAGCTCTTGTGACATGTGACAAAGGCCAGAATGGAAGGACACATGGATTTCTTGAGAGACGAAAGTGCCAAGGTCAGCCAGTCACTCCTGTGCTTAGAGAAACACATGTCTGCCCCAGCAGGGAAGGATGATGGAGCTGGAGCACAGCACCCTGGTCCAACGTGTGGTCAGGACAGGGAGCTGCTGTGCTTCAGCCTGGCATTCTGTGACAAGTTTAGTGTGGGAGACGTGGACCTGCATAGTGCAGACATTTAGTGTTGGGCCACCAAAGTCGAGACTTCCCCACTTCCCTGCCCCGTGCTTCTCAGCAGAGCCCTCCTTCCACAGGGGAAAAGCCACAGGGATCCAAGGTGCTAACAGTGATGGTAACCACTTAGTTGTGCTATGGCATTGGGCCCCGTTTGGGCTATTGCCCACATAAGAGTCCACTTGGAACCCTTTGTTCTCTGTGTCCGTAGTGCTCCTGGATCTGTCACGTGCCACATTGTACCACTGTGGTCTCTGCTGCTTTCCAGAGTAGATGTAGTCATCTCTCTCGCGATTGCTGCCCTAGGGTGTTTGATCATCCCTCCCACCCCCACCCCCACCCCCGTCACACACCAAAAGAAACAAGGATTCCGCATTCGGTATTGCCCTTTGTTCTGGTCCCTCACTGTGCTAGGCTGAGGCTGAGCTTCTCCATTCCCCATCAGGCTCCTGGGACAGCCATGGACCCAGGAGTATGATTTTTAGTCCTGTGACAAGTACAGGGTATCTACGTCATATCTCAGAGGGTGCCTCCTGCCCAACAGGCCTGTGGTAGTGCAGAGAGCAGCGGGGAAGGTCGTGCAAAGGGGGTCGTTAGACCTGCTTGGTCTTGGCCCAGGGCTGGGTCAGTTTTGAATATACTGCTCCTGTTGGCGTCATCCCTGACCTCTTTGAGATCAGGCCTGTACGCTGTTCTGCTTGCCTCACACTGGCCGCCTCCGCCTCACAGGGGTGGACTTCTGTCCAGTGAGGATGTAAGGTAGCCAAGTCCAGGCAGCATACCAGTAGCCAGGCCAGGCTTCCCAGAGCAGTCTTGTTAAAGCTTAATGGCTATTCATGAAAATAGGTATCTGGGGATCTCTGTTACCTCATCTTGCCACCGTTGACCGCTCAG